ATAGGTGGCAACCGGGATTTTTAGGCGTATGGCAAAGAAGAATGCTACAGAGGCAACGACCTCATTACTTGTCATTTAGTAACGAAATGAATGATGTGGTTAACAAGAAACCGCCATTTAGGGCCCACCAACTTATTCATTGGTGGATACGACTGGGTAAAACACCAAGTGGGGAGACATGTTTCCCTTTGGCAAGGATGATCAAAATGTACCAAGTAGGACCAAAGCCCTTATCCTCCAGTGTGGGAGGGGGACGCGCGTGAGGAGAGATATATTACGTTCGCCAGCCCACCTGCACTACGTCGGGTGGTTAAGGCTTTGGCCGAAGGTGCTGCCAGTCCATGCCACACTCACCGCAAGAGGGGGTCAAGATCACGCAGCTGTCTTTGTTTTGCCAGGGGTTGTGTGCATCTGCATCAGGTTCGGTGTGTCAGCGAGGCGAAGAGCGAAAAGTGGCAATAAAATTAGGAAGGATTGTAAAGGATGTGGCGGAGGAGGGAGAATGGATATCACTCACATCGTTTTGTGTATGCATTACAGAAAGTAAAAACGAATAATCAAATCCCTACTTATTCTCTTTTCCTTCAAAAGAGCTTCTACGTTGAGGAATAGGAATTTCGATTCACTTTTAATTATTGACACATGCATTTGAACTCATTTTGCACTTGGCCTTCAGAATATATCACCTTAATGCATTTTCAAGGAAAAAGAAGAATGAATTTTTGTTGTTTAGATTACAGACAGTCAAATCCCAAAATGAGGAGAGAGGTGGAGCAAAGTCTACAAACATCAATTCGCCCCAAAGGTAGCGCACAATTTAGCCTCCTAGCTTTAATAAATTGAGTTTTCTCCTCCGTTTTTGAAAGTAATGCAACGTGACTGAGAGGAAACAGGCAGTCTGGCTTTTTTATTCTCACGGTAGGAAATCAGTCGAGCAGATTCTATGTACTGAGGATACCAGCTATTCGATCAGCCCATTCATACACTCTGCCAAAATCCAAGTATATTTTGTGGAAGCAATGCCTCTTTAGAGCAAATGAAATATTTGGAAAGGGAAATCAAACTGTGTACCACTTGATCAAATTCGCGGAGACGGGAATTGTGTAGCCTCTCAAAATTCTGTGTTGGTGAATTGACAGCATTGACAATACTACCTCCACCTGTGGGCTCGATAAGGCATAAATATACGCCGATGTGTACTTTTTGCAATCTCATCATCACCTCTGATTCACAAACTGCAAAACATATGTCAAATAGGATGTGATAAGGACATGGCTTTATGCAAAGTCGTGTTAGCTGCATTTAAAGGCGACAGAACGTCAGTGAGACAATTGAGTTGCTTCATTTCGAGAGACGAAATTGGCGGAACGCATTGCCTAGACAGGTGAGCAACCTATCAACACATGATTTGGAAGTGTCGTGAGTAGCTGGGCGACAATTTTTTAATACCTACATCATCTGCAGCGCATCCATAGACAGGAGGCGATTGACTGACTGATAAATTTACTGAGAAAACGACAGGGCCGTGTAAAGAATTAGGGCTTATTTTTAATTCACATATTTAGGCTTGCCTTATTAACGGCAGGGTATACAGAAGCCAAAGGCGAGTGGGCATTTTGATTGGCAAGTTGGGTGAATTCGGGTGGCCAGCTGACTTCTTCCCTGGCACCGAATAATGCGCAATTTCTCCATAGGACCGATCCAAGGATGTTCTTCGTGAGAAGGAATTCGGTGGCATCTGGCCCAGACTCCACCTTATTTCGCTAACTCCTTTCTCAACATCCTATCTGCCTAAATAGCTAGGAACATTGAGGGAAGGCTTCTACTTTGCCAAGAAGTTGTAAAATAGACAGAAAGCTATAAAATCTATTTAAGGAATGTTTTTGCAGGGGAAATTTTCACAAATCAGATGCTTTTGGTTGCTATGCATGCACATACACAAACAGCAAGAGAGGGACACAAATGCAATCATTTGGAGTTAAAGCGATAGGTGATTTAAAGATTTTGGAAAAGAGGTAGTGTCATTCGGCGATAAAAATTGACGTTAGGGGGCTAAATAGTTTTGCAATGCGTCAATCAGCCAGTGGGCAGTGCTTCGGCCATTCCAGCTGCAGGTGCTGAATACAAGTGAGTGTAAATGTGCTGAAAATGGCTACGTAAACCACAAGGTGGCTGTGTTTGGTAGTCTGATTTGCTCCTGATTTATGATGTGTCCATTTATAGAGAAAGGTACTTTAGCTCACACATGGTAGAACGTTGCAGAAGAATCACTTAATTGCAACTAATACAAGTTTACTGGTGGACCACCTTGCAATTTGTATCGGTCTTCAAGTTGAGTCCCCTCAAATCCTACTCGTTGTTTTCAATGCATGCTTGAAGGCTGTTCACTTATCAGTTTTGTTTCCTTCAAATTATCGCCGTACAGAGAAGCAACATACCTTACTTTTTGATATTTTACATCTGTAAAAGTGATGTGAACTCAATTGGCATTTCTATCATCCATTCTGAATGGACTGGAGCATCAAATTAGGCATCAGCCACTTCCCTCTCCTCCTTTCAATATCTTCTTCACAAAGTCGGCTATTCAGAGCC